CGCTTTTATTTTTATTTTTGTTTATTTTTGAGGGCTGTAATTATGGATGTGTAGCACCATGCCTGGCTTACAATTTCTTTATAAACCCTGTTACATCTTCTTCAATATTTTGTATTCAAAACAAGGAGTGTTTGGTGGGGTGTGTAGAAAAGACTCTGGGAATACGATTTAAAAGGAAGCCAAAGGGAAAAGTGAAAGAAAAGGATTTGTGATTCTCAGTATGAAAGTAAACACCTCCTGAAGGGTTTGAACCACAGAAGGCAGGGATGCCTTGGTGTGGGAAAAGTTTCCTCAGAGTTTTAAGTAGGGACATGAAACATGGCCAACAATAAGGACCACGATAGCAGCCAGCATTATGGATCATGAAAAGTCTCCAGACATATGTTAGCATGCTTCTGGAGAGAAAATCACCATCATTCTGGGAATTAAAGAACAAGAAGATGGGCAGCATAGAAAAAGAAATAGGGAAAAATGCAGAGAGACAAAGACAAGGCATACACACACACATATACACACAGACACACACATAGACATGGGTCAGCTGAGAGACAAAGATTAACAGACATACAATTTTACATACTTGTAATAATCCTCAGTCTGAATCTGATGACTTTAAAGATTTTGAGTACTGTAGATTGTATAAAGATTTTGAGGACTTTAGACGTATAAAGCTCATCTGAAAAGAACATAGAGAGGAAACCGCTTTGTTTGTGACCCTTGCTCTTTCAACAAACACGGCGTCTACCTGATAAGCCTTGCTGTGCTCCTTATTGTCTGGGAAATGCTTCTTAGGGATCAAAAGGTACAAAATTGTATGACTTCAGACGATAAAGTCAAGGGACTACTAATGCAGGAAACTGTATTTGTGCCAGTTTGGACGTGATACTCAGCTTTCTCAGTAGAGGGCGCTAGAGCGGTGAGCTGGGAGGACTGCAGATGCAGATACTCCCCCTATTAGAACGGGGAGATGTTCTAGTAAACGGGTCACAGTGGAAAATGTGGTTAAGTTGAAATGTATCTGACGCCCCTAACATGGAATACCATCTCAGCCTAGCCTACCTTCACCATGCTCAGAAAACTTAACAGTAGCCTGCTTTGGAGCAAAAATCATCTCACAGTCCCTACTTCATAAGTGTTCAGCTCACGAAGTTTATACTGGAGGTAAGAAGCAGAACAGTTGAGCGAATGCATTTTGTACCATTATAAGGCTGGAAAATTATAAACCGAACTGCCATGTAAGTTGGAGCCTGTGCGTTGCTAACCTCGCCTCTGCCTCACGGTGAGCGTGGTGGCCGTGAGGACATCTAATGGAGTTTTCAGTTCCCACCATATCCCATAATGTGGGTTATCCCCTGCTACCCTGTAGCCTCAGCCTGGTCGTGACCTTTTCCTGGGCTTCCTGACTGCAAGCTCTGGCAGATTCTGCTTGTCTGAAATCCAGCGGGTTCCCAGAGTGGCCTGCTTTTCCATGTGCCGTTACCTGTGCTGGCAGACTGCATTTGTCTGCACTGCGAGGGTCACTTCCCGCTAGCCTGTGGGGAGTGTGGTCCCAGTCTAGCTCCTGCAAGTGAGCTGGCTCCACCTCCCTGCTGTGTGAGGCAAGTCCAGTTCTCTAAGGTCTGAGCATCCTTTACGGGGAGGGACATCTCTTCAGGTCTGTCTTTCCCTGGGTCTTCTTTAGTTTGAGGGTGCTCACACCATCTCCTGCTATGCCGTGGCCACTTGTTTCTCGTTACTTTGTCCCTATGCTACGTTTCTCCTTTCCGCCACTGTGTGAGTTGACAGCAATGCTGATGCTTTCCTGGATGCACAGCTGCCTTCCCGTTTAGAGAGCGGAATTTTTAAAGTGCAGCACCAGTTGAATCAGTGGCTGGTTTTCCTCCCTGGCTTTAAGACTTTTTTCACTTCTCAAAGGGGACGGACACTCTGCTTCAATAGCTAGACTGTCATAACTCATGTGGTACAGACTTGAGAGGAAGCGACCACCCATTCGTCCAGGACAAGGACATTCTTGTGGTGTGTGTGTGTGTGCGCGCGCGTGCGTGCGCGAGCGTCAGCTAGCCCATCGGCTTAGTTTGATTAAATGTAAAACACACCTGGAGGGCATGGGGAGCAGGGAGCCCTGCCATCGCTCGGGGTTTCGTCAAAGCAGGGAGAGACAATATCAGTAATAGAAGTAACATAGCTAAGCTGAGCAAGTATGCATTGCTTTGAACTTCTGTGATTTTTATTTTTAAAACCTGGGACTTCGCAGTTCATGATGGCCTTGTGATCCTACCGATAGAAACTGTGCAAATGGTCATAGCAGAGGCTCTTACAAGTTAGGGCACACCAGGATGAGCTGGAGATGGTTTTAAACCCAGGGCCCAGCCTGCCTGGTGCCTTGGCAATAGCATCCCAGAGGCTCATGATATATTTTGAGAAACCATGAGTTGGTACGGGCTCCTGTAAGGTTTTATCTAAAATCAGAGTAAGTAAAAGTTCCTGTATCCTGTTATGGTATGAAAATGGTGATTGTTTATCTGAACTTCCACCTCAGAGTTAAGGCAGCTATGTCCTTCGCCACTGATTTCTGTGTGGCAAGGTCTTGGCGTACCCCCGGTCACTTCAGACCTGCTGGAAATGAAGATGTGACTTCAGACAGTGTTTCTTCTTTCTGGTAATAATGTGAATGAAACTCGTTTCTCCAAAAAATAATAATAATAAAATTCTGAATTAGCATGCCAATGCTAAGTAGTCTCAAGGAAAGGAAAACTAGAGAGCAGAGAATTTGGAAACACAAGAATAAAAACGCAGTATTTTTTTAAGTATCCAGAAAGACAAAACCAGTAATTTAATCCTGAGGAGTTATTAGCTGTTGGTGGTGGCAGGGGCGGGGGGGGGGGGGCAGCCATTTTTTGAGGGTGTGGCCAGAGGTAGGCTGCCCCATGCCCATGCACACATGGGCAGCACTAATTGGAGCTAGTGGATTATTATTGTTATTTTTTAAAGGGACACAGAATTTATGAAAGGGGGTTATATGGAGAGAATCCAGGGAGAGCTGGAGACAGGGAGTGGGAGAATAAAATTTAAAAATATAATTTACATATATGAAATTCTTGAACAATAGATACTTTAAAACAGATCTGTTAATGTTAAGTACGCAGCGTTCAAGGCACAGATGTCCTTTTCAACTACGTGTTTTGATCAGATATGAAGAAGACAAACAAGAAAATGAGCAGAAACCAGCTCGGCTTCCTCTTCTCAATGGCAGCGACTGATGCAGCCCGAGCTGGCTATTTTTTCTGTTTGGAAACCAGATGTACAAACTGAAACCTAAGCGTCCCCCAGAGCAAAGGAAACCCTGCTTGGTGTCTTCCATGACTCCGAGGTCCCTCCCCAACTCCTTCGGTGAACCAGAAGGCTGAGTCAGCTGGCTTGCAGCAACAGGCTGGTCACATCCCTGGTCACAGGTCACATCCTTTCCTGGAACGTAAGGTTTCTGGTGCACTCTCGGGGCCCTGTGACACAACCGCACCTGGTGTGAGCGGGAAGTGCGTGGAGAGAACACGGTGACACATGCAACTCTGAAGCCCCAAGGCGTGACTGTGACTGCTGCTCTCACTGCCTCCGCCCGGGACCCTGCTGGAAGCTTCTACAGTAAATGATTTTTTTTTTACTAGAAAAGAATGAGAGCTGTAAGGGTTGAAAGCACAGGGTTTCTAGCTGGGGTTTCTTCAGTGTGGGGGGGGGGGGTGGCAAGTCCGACATCAGTGAAGGCCATGTCCCCCTAAGAATCAGATTTCTCCCAAGTCCCACTGGGTACCTCGCTCACTTCCTTGTGACAGGGGAAGGATGCTGATTGCAGCAAGAGGACAGATGCCATGCTGTGAAGTTAAATGTCTAAAACAGAAGCCATCAGGGTGCGGACCGACACCAGTCAAAGCTTGCAGTTTGTATTTGACCACACGGAGGCCTGAGGACAACCCTAGGTGCTTCTTGGGCACTGTCCACCCTGTATTTTGGAACAGGGTCTCTCATTGGCCTGAAACCACCAAATAAGCTAGGCTAGCTGGGATCCCCAGGGACCATGCTCCAATGTCCTGTTGCTTTTAGTGGATTCTGGGGTTTGAACTTCTGCCTGCAAGGCAAGCATGTTTTCCTGCATTTACTTACTGCACATGTGCGCATACATGTAGTGCTCAGGGGACGACTTGCAGGCGTTGGTCTCTATGCCCAGTGTGCGGGTTCTAGGGACAGAGCCCAAGGCCGTCAGGCCTGGCAGCAAGCACCTTGCCCTGCTGAGCCACCTCACCATCCCTGTGTTGGCTCCTGGGAGCTTCAGAATTCCCCCAAGGCTTTTACTGAGGACATCTGTGGACATTTGCTGAGAAGCTTTTAGTTCTGAGTGGCCCACATCTGAGAAAATGTCAGCCGGGCGGTACTATATTAACTTCAAAATAACCGTGCAGTGTAGTGTGGCTGGTGAATACGCTCTCCGGCTTCTTGAGTCATAATGGTCCCACTGGATGAAGAGAGAAGCATTTGAACACAACCCTGGGAAAATGCTGGCCTCCTTGATCGTTGCACGAGCACCATAGACAAGCGCCACAGCACAAAGCAATAGCTTTGGTGGCCTCTACATTACCAGCAAGCAAAAACAGTTTGTGGTGTATAACCTTCTCCAGCGGCTATGCATAGCCTGGCTCCTGGCCCTAACGCCAGTCTCATCCTGATTTGTTTGAACAGACTCAGACCTCAGGCCACGGAACCCCGTACCCGCTGTCACTGAGGTCACCGTTCAGGCTTTGATAGACTTGGGCCACTCACGAGCTCTCACTGAAACATGACAGTAGAAATCAGCTCCTCATAATCGCCAGGTTTACATTCGGAAAACCAACTTTTAAAAAATATTAAACATCCAGATTATGTAGCTCACTAAGTAAGCACGATTAGCCCACGGCCTGCATGGGATAGCAGCACGGGTTCAGTTTTGAGACTCTGGACTTATTTCTCACAGGTTTGAGAACTGTTGTCTCTGTTAATAAACTGGTGAAGATGACATGCAGCCGGAGGAGTCATCATAGGGCCGCACAGAGCCTTCCTCCTGGGGAAAGCGGTGTTTGATACGGGAGAGACGCGGTAAGACCTGAGCATCGTGGAGAGCAGAACCGCTCACCCAGCTAGCACACATGTAGGTGGCCACTGGTCTTTATAAACACCAGAGGCTGGACAGAGGGCTCAGCGAGTAAAAGGCACCTGTGATGCAGTCTGATGACCAAGTTCATCCTCAGAGCCCACTAAGTGTCTAACTTCTACACGAACACCGAGACAATCACGTCAACCCACATGTCACAGACCACACACAGCATGTTTATATACAAATATATACACACGAAATAGATTTTTAAAAAACCCACAAGAATCTCCATATTCAATTTGACTATCTTTGGATTCTTCATTAAGGTTTCCACAAAATACAAAGCTCACAGAAAGCTCTACATGCACCACAAAACAGAATCAAATGAGTGGTTAGCACACAAACAACGATCTGTTTCATTTTTCAAAATATAAATAACAAAAATGTTCAAGGTTTTGCAGTTTTCTGAACGTGTGTCTTTGTAAGGCTTTGGGGCGCAGTCTGGTGATTGCGCCCTGTCATAAGCAGGGAAGGCCACTGCGGATACATTCCTGAGGTGGCACACAGTGTCTGTGCTGCTCCAGCCTGTGAAAACCTGCACGGTCAAACGCCCTCCACCAGGCTAGAGTCATTAACTTTCCTTCTGGGAATGCAGAGTGGGAAGGTCCCGGCAGCATGCGAGCTCAGAAGACCAACCATGAAAGGCAAGAGAGGAAAGACAGGCTTCTTCCGGGATATAGTCCCTTCCTTTTACCCTGGAAGCCCCCAGTAACCCACAGTTCAAACTGCAGTCGCAGCGAGACATCTTTAGATTAAATAGTATTAGCACGGCATCTCTTGGTTGGGTCTTTCAGGAGCGGTTAAAGTGGAGAGGTCAACGATGGGAAACCGCCACTGAGCATGGAGCCCCCTGCAGAGCCCCCCACAGGAGTCACTTGGCTGGAGAGAGCCGGGGGCAGGGAGATGGCCCCTGCCTTTGGCCTGAAGTCCGAGGGAAGAGACTCCAGCAGACACTTGACCTGCTCCTGGCCCAGTTTTATCTTGTCATCCAGCTTCCGCTGCTCGATAAGGAGTGTGGACTTCATTTTCACAAAATGCTGGTAGTCCTGGAGCTGCTCAGGGGACAGGTAATTGGCCAGGATGGCCAGCACTACGCGCTCCCTCCGGTCCAGGTTCTCCTTGAGCTCCCGCGCATCCTCATGCTGCCCAGCCAGGATCTTCCTCTTCTCGTTCAGAGAACGCTGCCAGGGTAGAGCAAAAAGAGCAGTCAGTCAGAACACAGAAGATGGTCCAGGCTCTGGGCATGCAACCTCTGACAGGACTGCAGACCCCTCTCTGCCAACAGCGTAAGGGTGGAGCTTTAAAGCTATTCTCCTGCTGCTGACACTGTGTGCTGAAGTGGCCATGGGGACTGTCCCACCCTTTCAGGTCTACACTTAGACTTAATTCTCAAGTTCTCTTGAGTACTGTGTGTCCCCCTGGGGACACCAGAAAGATTCTCAGCCACTTCTCTAGCTACTGAATCAAAAACTCTGCAGGGGGCTGGAGAGATGATGCAGTGGTTCAGAGCACCGACTGCTCTTCGAGAGGACATGGGTTCGATTCCCAGCGCCCACATGGCAGTGACAGGGCATCCCCATGCTCTCTTCAGGAAATGCATGAGTCATGCAGACGTAAACAGGCAAAAACACCCGTTAGTATAAAATTAAAATAAGCTCAACATCTTAAACCTCTGCAGGAAGGCCCTGAAATCTGTGTTTCAACAGGACCGCCCGGTGAGTCTTAAACAACTGTAGAAGGTTCGAGCCCCTCCCCGCCCCCACTGTAACAACAGGAACCCATTCCCTTCTCTAAAGAGTCACCCCACCAGCCCAGGCTGCCTTGGGCCTCTAGTCATGAATTAAAGCCCTTCATCAAGGGTGCTGACTCCCATCCAGTGGCGAGCAGCCTTGTCTCCTCAGCACTGTTTCTAGAGGCGCTTCACCGTCTTGCATCCGCCGTGCTGACACATGTAAGTACATTTTTTTAAAAGGATATGAATAGAACTATTTATTTATTTATTATGTATACAGTATTGTGTCTGCAGGCCAGAAGAGGGCGCCAGATCTCATTACAGATGGTTGTGAGCCACCATGTGGTTGCTGGGAACTGAACTCAGGACCTTTGGAAGGCAGTGCTCTTCAGTGAGCCATCTCTCCAGCCCCACATGTAAGTACTTTTTAAAAAATTTTAAATAGTTTTTCAGACTTGTCAGGCTAAAATGACTGAAAAAAATGTAAAATGGAATTCAATCATGAAGTACAGTGACTTAAATTTCCTTATTTAGGATTATTAAAGACTCAGGTGACTCTGCCCCAAATTTCCCAAATTTGAGACAGGGTCTCACTGTATCTCTGGCTGGCCTGGAATTTAGCAAGTACCCAGGCTGGCCTTGAACTCAGCAATCTGCCTGCCTCGCCCTCTCCGAGGGATTAAAGGTGTGTGCCAGCAATACCACGCCCAGACAGCTTTTAGGAAGATTTCTATGAGACTGCCTAGGAACAGTCTAGAGTCAAAGGGTGCAATCGTGGGCTATGCAACAGTGAGACCCTGTCTCAAAGAACAAAAACAAACAAAAAATCGGAATTTTATAAATATCTCCATTTTCACAGTTCTTTCCCCAATCAGAAAAGACGTAATACAGTCTGGACGTTGAATTAAAGCCATACACTTCCTGCCTGGGACCTGGATTGACAGCTGGAGACTGAAGCTTCACGGCCATTCCTCCCCACCCTGTACCAGCCCCTGTGGATGGACACGCTGGAGGTGGGGACTTACTGGGTCACCTTTTCTCTTTTCCCTACTGAATCTTCTAGTTTCTCAGAGGCTAACCATGGTGCAGCAATGGTAAAGACGCAGGACAGGACACACGAAGCAGAAACTGGCACATACCCTTTCTTCTTTACTGGCATCTTCACCAAGGCCACTGAGGACGTTCTCCACCCGGGCGAGGCGTCCAGAGAGCGAGAGCAGCAGGTTGACCACCTTGTCTAAGTCCCCGATGAACATCTTGTACTTGTCAAACTCATTGGGTTTGCAGAGCTCACTGATGAGGGCCTCGACCTCTTCGCCCAGGGCATTGTTCAGCTTGATGTCCATGAGCAGGCTTCCCTTTGCTTCCTGGAGGGTCTCGAGCTTGTGGGTGAGGCTTCCGATGAGCTCAGCCTGGAACAACAGGAGTCACCCACGTCAGGTGACTGACACCCCCAGCCCCATCCTGCCTTCAAGGCTCAGCTAAAAGCTCCCCTGCTCCACAAGGACCAGTGACTCAACATCAGAACATTTTTCTGGCCTTTCCCCGAATGCCTGTCTACACCTGCCATTCCCTGAGCCCATTCAGCGTCCAGAGGACAGCACCTGATTACACATTGCCTGGTCATGCTTCCCCACTGTCTCATGGGCTTGTTAACTTCTCATTCACGGCCCTTTCGTGGCATTTCTTACTGGGTACAATAGCAGGAGTTGGAAGGCAGGGGCAGAAAGCCACCAAACAGTGAAGGGAATCACCTGTGGGCTGAGAGCGGAGTATTAGCTGACCTTTGTGCACAATTACTGTGTGCTATGTCACACAGACTAGTCTCCCCCAGCTCACAGATGCTAGTCCAGCACATACAATTACTGTGCTATGTCACTCAGACCAGCCTCCCCCAGCTCACAGATGCTAGTCCAGCACATACAATTACTGTGTGCTATGTCACACAGACCAGCCTCCCCCAGCTCACAGATGCTAGTCCAGCACATACAATTACTGTGTGCTATGTCACACAGACCAGCCTCCCCCAGCTCACAGATGCTAGTCCAGCACATACAATTACTGTGTGCTATGTCACACAGACCAGCCTCCCCCAGCTCACAGATGCTAGTCCAGCACATACAATTACTGTGTGCTATATGTCACAGACCAGCCTCCCCCAGCTCACAGATGCTAGTCCAGCACATACAATTACTGTGTGCTATATGTCACAGACCAGCCTCCCCCAGCTCACAGATGTTAGTCCAGCACATACAATTACTGTGTGCTATATGTCACACAGACCAGCCTCCCCCAGCTCACAGATGCTAGTCCAGCACATACAATTACTGTGTGCTATATGTCACACAGACCAGCCTCCCCCAGCTCACAGATGCTAGTCCAGCACATACAGGAGGGGAGCGAGAGGCTCCGGGAGGGGCCTCCTAAGGCAAGCGCATCCATCGTCACACAATCATTACAATTCTGAGGCCACAACTTTATCAGAAAGTCCGTTTTTGTTTCTTTTAAACTATATTTGGATTTAGTTACCATGGTTGTGTAATTTAAGCACCCAATTCCAATATTTTGTACTTATAAAAAGGAGGCTACACAAAGATATCTCTCCATTTTGTTGATTATAGCCTCTGGGGGGGGGGGTGTCTTACTATGTATCCCAGCTTGGCTTCAAAGATACTATGTAGACAGTACGGCTGGGAACTTGTGCCTCAGCCTACCGAGTACTGGGATTACAGGCATCAACACTACGCCCAGCCTTGGAACACAAGGGACTGGAGATGGGGGAAGGCAGCGAAACTAAGGCTTTGCTCTGATCCGCAGTCAGGGTGAGGAACACGCTCCCAGGGAAGCGGCACTCTACGACCTCCACCCAGGAGCCAGCACGTCACAGCTCCTGGTGTCAGTGGCTCATGTAGCCTTGAAATGCCACACTCTGGCGTGAACAGTGACATCCTGTTGTCCCCAACTTTCCTGATCCCCACGACTAGGGTTGCCTTTTTAGTGGAAAAGCTGCACAGTGTCTATGCATTTCTCTTCTCAGCTGAAGGCTGAGCCCAGGAAACACAAGGGGAGGGAACATGACCTAAGGATAATCATCTTCTCTACTGCCCCAGCCCGAAAAGCACCTTTGTAACTCCAGAACTGCCTCCTAGGGAATGCTGAACTGGGGTAACCTCGCTCCTGTGAAGAGAACTCCTCCACACTACAGCGGGCAGCAGACAGATGTCACTACAGCACGAGAATGGCCAACAGCCATGAGACGGCAGCCCTGGTGTTTCTAACCCTGCAGAGTGCAGCTGCCAGCCAACACAGCATCTAGCCAGGCATGTTCGTAAACTCCTGCAATCCTAGCGCTTGGAAGGGAGAGGCAGAGGACGGCTGCAAGTTCAAGCTCCAGGTAGGCTAGGACTGCACAGCAAAACCTTCTCTCAGAAAAGAAAAATGAAATAAAAAAAATCAGGGTGGTCAAGCTGTCCCAGCAGATGGGGGTGCTCGCCACCAAGCCTGACTAATACACTGCCCACGCCCTGAGTTGGAGAAGACAACAGATTCGCTCAGGTTGTCAGTTGATCTCCAATGTATGTACTGTTGAGCAAATATGTTATACACAAACAAGTACTGTAATAGTTTTAAAGAGAAAATATAAAGTCAGCGAGACAGCTTATCAGGTTAAGGGGCTTCCCAAGCAGGACTAGCAACCCGAGTACAAATCTAGTCTGCTGGGTCTTTCTGTCCAGACCCAGCCCTGGTTTTCAGAGGCATGGACGCTGGAGAGAGCCATAAGTAGATACCACAGAAGCCTATGAACACTCTCTGCATGGACTACTGAGCAGGCACCCCAGTCCCTCCTGCCTCATGGGAATGTTTTCCTCCCTCACTCCCCCAAGTCTTTAATTACGGAGACTTGGGTTTGTGAACGCAGGGAAGAGGGTCTGAGTAACTATGGAGTCAAGGGAAAGCTGGCCGTGCTGCAGCCATTTCTTTACCAGAAAGATCTTTTTAAAAACAACAAAAAGCTGACTTCACTAGAACTCTCACTTAGGGCAGGAAAAGGGAGGAGGGAAGGACTTTTTCAAACATTATTTATGAGTGTACCTGCTTTAGGTATGTGCACCGTGTGTGTGCAGGTGCCCTTGGGTAGAGACTGTCAGACCCCGAGAGCTGGAGTTACAGGTAGCTGCGAGACACACCGTATGCGCTCAGAGAACCGAACTTTGGTCATGCAAAACCAACAGGTGCTCTTAACCTCAGCCCTCTCCCCAGCCCGAGAGATTGTTACAAACACACCAGTCTCTCACGGGAGCTACTAAATTTGTAAACCTCTGACATTTACCCACTTGGCTTCTCGTCTGACAAACTGCTAACTCTGGCTGTGTGAGATGCTATTTATATGGGTTCTTTTTCTAAACACAGTTCAACACAGCCTCCCTCCCATCTCACCATCTGCACACGAATATCCTGCTGGGCCTCTCTCCCTCGTCACCAGATGAACAGACTGAGTCAGGGACCGGCTCTGACATGATCGCTGCCAGCTAGTCACCTGCCTGTGCCATCAGCTACCCACACCGCCTGCCCAAAGCCTGCAGCCACGTTCTCATTACTGAGGTCATAGGTCATACTCTGTGCCAGGCGGAACAAGCATCTCACTGCTCAACCACTGCTTCGGAAACCCAACAGCACAGGTACTGGTGACCCCAGTGTCACCGATAAATAAGCACAGGGAGGGGGTGGAGGGACAGAATATGCTCATACAGTAAGTGGCAGAGCCAGGCTTAAACCCAGGTAGTCTGGCTCCAGGGTGCAGACTTCACTGACTACTTTCAGATACCTCCCCCAGGGATGCTCTGAGGTTCAGGTGAAATAGAGCTTGTGTGAACACACTGGAAAACAAATACCAGACACAGCTTGCTTTCTGTGTGATCACAAGGCCAGGCCATAGTCTGAAGAAAGTAGATGCCTGGAGGGCAGTACCCAGCTTCCCTGTGTGGCAGAACTGCCGGCCTCCTGCTCTGAGGGCTTGTACCTTACAGAGCAAGAGCCTTCTGCTGGCTGTTTTCATCAAGAAAAACTCAGCACGACTGGCCAAGTGGCTGGGACAGGTGGAATTCAGGCTTCTTTCTCTGGTTGTAAATCCAAGATCCGGGACACTGCGTGTTACTACTGTCTTGGCTGAGTTTTAGAAAGTCAAGGCAGTTTCTGACTTATGAGGCCAAACCTCCATCCCACTCTACCTGACCTGCAGAGGTCATGGGGCCTGATGGCAATGTCAAACTTCCTCCAGCACATTCTCTGCCAGGAATCCTTCTCCATTTCTCCTCCAGGAGCCTGATGACTGGAATGTCATCGTATCTACTTGAGATGGTCCCTCGGTGCCAGTTACGAATCTGCAAGGTTAACTGTCTTCCCAGACACTGTCCTAGCTGTCCCCGTCAGCACAGCAGCCTGGAGCTGGGGGTCATCTGATCACCCTTTCTCTTGCACACTCTACACTAATCCACCATGAGCTCCTGCCTATTTCATTAAAAACACGATATTCCCAATGGCTCCCTGGATGTTGTGTCATGGCTGCACCACCTTCCAGCGACTGCGCCTGCTCCCACCTGCTCTGGAGAGACTTTTCTGATCGCCAATCTGTCCTACCTTCTGCCAAGTCCCAGAGGGTAGCCTCTGGGTGGACAATGATGTTGTAACTAACTCACTGCAGTTTCCCTCTTCTGCATGTTATAATTAAAGCCCAAATTTCTGGAGGGCATCAGGGATGCTGGCCTTGGCAGCAGACTGAGGTGCACACCAACACCCCACATGGGTGAGCCTCCCGCTTTTCACACCCTGACAGCCCAGGGTAAACTAGGAAAGCTTGTCTGTAGAGCCCGAAGGGAGGGGGGCTTAGGTGAGCTAGTATGGGGAATCTGCTTTCTCTCTCTCCTCTCTCCCAGCCGTGTCCAGTGTGGTCCCACTCTGGGATGCCCACCACACAGTGGTCGCAAGGCACCCCAGAACCCTTCCTGGGAGCTGGAGGATCCACTATAATTTCCTTCTTCTCATTAAGGAACGCACAGCTGCACAGGCTGCTGTGAGGGAGAATCTGTCTTTCCAGCTAGAGGACAAGACTAGGGGTCCCTGGGAGCTAGACCAGATGCTTGAACCTCTAGGCATGAACTCACAGTGCCTCTGGGCTCCCCTTTACGCTGCACATGGAGGAGAAACAGAGCAAAGGCTCCGAGAATGGCACTGCGCCAGAAATGCTGCTCAAGACCCAAGCTGAAGCTCTAAGGGAACCAGACAGTGATGGCGTACGCCTTCAATCCTAAAAGTCGGGAGGCAGAGACAGGCGGATGTCTACACAGTGAGTTCCAGGACAGTCAGGGCTATACAGAAAAAAATCTGTCTCAACAAAAAACAAAAACAAAACTAACAACAACAATATCCAAAAACACAAAACAAAAAGACCACCGGCAGAATAAAGACAGGAAAGTGAACTTGAGGTCAGACCAAGAGAAACTATCCAATCTGAAGAACAGAGTCTCATTTATCCAGAGCAGTATAAAAAGCTCTAATATCGTATCACTGTGCTCCTGAGAGAATATTAAGTATGCATAAATACTTAAATTAATGCATAAAAATATTGAAAGAAATAGTGGCTGAAAATGCCTCAAATTGTGATGAAAGGTGCCTATCCAGACTCGAGAACGCACACACACCACAAGCAAAGTGATGACAGCCACAACAAGATCACTTTTAAGCTGGACATTGCTTCTCACAGTAACAAATAAGGCAACAACAAGTCAACAAGATGAAAGACCAGAGAATGGTTGGCCCAGAACTCCACGTCCAGTGAAACATCCTTCAGGAGTGACAGCGTCCTGGGGACACACAGATGGAAGTTCCAGCACTGCAGATCTGCTCTGAAGGAGATGCTGAGGACTCTGTCTCAGGACGAGAGGAAGCAAGGCCAGAAGTGGAGTGCAATAGAAACGGGGAGCGGACAGCGAGGAGCCACAGCGGCCTCTCAGGCCCATCAGCAACAGCCGCTCTCAAAAGCGATGCACTGAAACAGTCGGAAATGCTGCTGTCATTTCCGTCACTATAGAAGTGCTGATAAAGTATTGGTGGAATTTTTTGTAAAGAAAAATTAGGGGAGCACACAAAACCATGCAGCCTAGTGCTAATTTACTTCCTGAGAGGATGACTCAATCCTATGAAAGTCATTTTAAAGAGCAGTTAAAACATAAAATGATGAGCTGGAGATGGCTCGGCAGTTAGAAGCACTTGCTTCTGAGTGCATCTGGGTTCTGTTTCTAGCACACACATAGAGTTCCAGAGGCTTGACACTCTCTTCTGACCTCCATAGCACCAGGCATGTATGTGATGTCCATACATACATACATACATAACTTACACAGCCAAAACACCTATCCACATAAAATAAGTCTTTATAAAAAATGAAGATGAGCAAAAGTGCTGTGTACTTTCTTCTTTGCTACTGTAATGCAGAGGTCTATGTGCAGGACAACAGGACAGAGGACAACACTCAGTTGAAGATGTCACGACGGCACAGCACAGCACATGGGACGGTGTAAGACCCACAAAATGGGCAGTCAGTGGGATCTGAATGAGAAACCTCTGGTTGAAAACTGTGTTGTAATGGCTGTTGCAACACACAGCCCTGAACTCACAATGCTGAAGCAGCAAGAGGGAAAATCTGGTAGGGTGCCCTCAAGTCTCCTTTCCTAGGGGTGGTAGTGGTAGGATGCCCTAAGTGTCTCCATTTCTGGGGGGGGTGGTGGGGTGCCCTTAGGTCTCTCCATTTTGGAGGGGGGCATCTACATGCTGTGGTTTCAGCCAGCACACCAGGAAGAGGCATGTTCTATGCACTAAGTAGGCTCACACATGAGTGTTCCCCGGCATCAACGACACAAGAGCGCACATCCCAGGCTCACTGAAGCAAGCTGCATGCGTCCTTTTGCAGGGGGCATGCCTGGACCCATGGAGGGCTGTAGGCAAAGCAGAAGGGCTCTCTGTCCTGCAGACACAGCCTGCCCATGTCTCCACGGTTTGTGAGGAGACAGTGACAACAGCAGGGTCATTTTAAAAATGTCCAACATTTAAAGTTTCTGTACAAGTACCAAACGCTAACAATTACATTTCAACCCTGCACTTTAAAGGTCTTTGAGGTACTGTGAAAGCTGCCGGGATGTACGAAGGTCAGTCTTATTTTTCCTCCAAGGGTCTGGCTTCTTTCCCTAATCAAAATGTAAGAGCCTCTAGTTTTCCTCATGAATGAACTCTGACCAGTGGCTGAGAACAGCGTCAGAATCCCTGGACTGTGTGGTGCCAGGAACCTGGGGTCCAGTTCCAGCTGGGAGATCTTTAATAACTAACTCAGCCTCCCTAAGCTTTCTTTCATCATTTGCAAAATTAGAATGACAGTAACTTACCTGTCCCGTCCACTCACAGGAGACCTCTGAGAACTCTCACATGCCATCAGGTGGGACAGGTTCGCCCCCTGCCTTAGGGGCTGGTAACCGTGCCCCTTACAAGGACCTTCACTACCTTCGGGGAAATAGCAGAACAAGTCCACTCTACCTTCTTCTCGTTGACGTCCTCCTGCTCCTCCTCCTCAGGCTCCGCCTCTGGCATGTCTTTGATTTTGTTCAGCAGCTCCGCCTTGGCTGCGGACACACTGTAGTAGGCAGGGCAGCTGACCAGCATGCCCACGGCTTTCCTGTCATCGCTCCTGAAACACACGGCACAAGGTCAGAGCAGCTTTTCCGCATCTGGCCATTCAGAATGTGCAACAACTTCTACTGAAGCTCTTCCCAGGAATGATAGCTGATGGCAAATTATGTGTCAATGAGCGATAATGACGTGCTGGCCCCTAAAGCCAGAAAAACCCAGGATGGAAACCCAGGGCTGCGGACAGAAGTGGGAATCGGGGCTACAAGTCATGCAGCTTCTCGTCACGATTCTTTTGTGATAACGACCCTGACACTCCTTACTTCACAGAAAGACAGTGTGGACTGATGGGAAAGACGCCCAAGGTATGGCACAACCCCAGACTACCGACCCTTCCTATCCCCCCTTCTCCAGAATGTCTCTGATGCTTGAATACATACATTTTCATCTTCAGCAACCCTCATAGCACACCACACTACAAGCCTGTGAAATCTGGAGCCTGCTGGGTTTTTATCAGTGAACTAATACAAAACCTAGTCCTCGGCCGGGTATGGCGGTACCTGTCTGTAATCTCAGTACTTGGGAGGTGGAGGCAGGAGGATCAAGATTTTGAAAGCAGGACTGGAGAGATGGCTCAGTGGTTAAGAGCACTGGCTGCTCTTCCAGAGGTCCTGAGTTCAATTCCCAGCAACCACACGGTGGCTCACAGCCAGCTATAATGAGACCTGGTGCCCCCTTCTGGCCTTCGGGCACACATGGAATGCTGTACACATAATAATAAATATTTTTTTTAAAAAAAGAATTTGAAAGCAGCCAAGGCTACTGCATTTCTGCATTTCAAGAGAAAAGAAGAAAAAAGGAGGAGGAGAAGAGGAGGAGAAAGAGGCAGAGGGAGAAAAGGAATTAGAGTAAAACAGGTGGCAGGCTCAAGGCGTCCAAAAAAAACTGGGAACTGAGAAACATGGCCTCTCATGCTATTTGTTTTACCATAACTGAGTTTTTTCATAGTCCAATTCACTTTTTTGAGGAGTTGGGGATGGAACCTAGGTCCTCATGCATACTCAGCAAGTGTTCTACCGTTACAACCTCAGCTCAGATTACAGTTCAGACACCACCTGATGAATAAACGGCTGGCGGAAGTAAGCTGGGTTCTCCTGGAGAGAAATCTTAACTCTTCGATCACGTGCTATTATTTAACTCTGACCCTGTGATCTCACTCAAGAATAAAGAACCACGCAGACAAACATTTTACCATTTCCTCTCAGCAGCTGATCTACATGTAAGCCAGCTGATTAGGAAACTGGACAAAGCCTTCAAAGATACGTTCCTGTGCCATAGGCCACTCACAAATCTACCGTCACAATGCTTAGTCTTGTCACAGCAGGACTTTGCTCACTTTCACCAGAAGGTGGCGCATGCCATCTTTCTGAAGGGTTCACCACCAAATTCACCAGGGAACATAAACTCTCAAAGACAACGTTTTTCTTAGACTACATTGTGAAATGACTTGGGTCTTCGTGCAGCAAGTAGCCAGGTAACAGCACGACCACTTATACCACAGTGAGCTGCATGGCAGACCCATCCTGGAGCCCTTGTGGTGCCCAGTGGACCACCCTGCACAGTGCAGGTATTCAGTGATGATTGCTACAGTGTCTCTGCGGAGAAGGGACCACACCTACCGCACCTAAGGTAGCCTCCGCTCTCCAAATCTGAAACTAGAGAGGCAGACAAGGTGACCACAAGGCCTTGACTTAGAAGAGCGCTGAGAACATAGCTCTTTTCTCCCTCCCACCCAACAAAGCACAACATTCTTGCTACTGATTCAGTGAGAATCAGCTGGAAGTTTCTAGACTGCAAACCCGTATCTGGGTGAAACGTTCTGTTTGTATTTCGTCTGGAATTGCTTACTGCTGAGTCTCAGTCTGTCAATACAGAGTTTTCACTGAAAAATAAAAAGGAAATAAAGCCCACTCTACTCTTCCTCCAATCAGTCTTAAATCAAGTATCCACACAATGGGAAACACCACTGCTCACAATGCTCCTACTGTGGCTGGGTGCTAGAGCTGTGTTCTAAGACCAGGGGAGGGCTTGGGAGCCTCCAGAGCAGAGGCTAAGGGGCCCTGCATTCCCTCTGAAACCTCAAGTTTCAGGATTTGAGCAAATGCTCACCTTAGTGCCTGAAAGTGAATGTCCTATATACATCCATTTCTCTAAGCCCCTCTCTTTTTCATCATCATCACCATCATCATTGTGGTTTTTCAAGACAGAGTTTCTTTGAGTAGACCAGGCTGGCCTCAAACTCAGAGATCCACCTCCTCTGCCTCCCGAGTGCAGGGATTAAAGGTGTGCATCACCATGGCCCAGCTAGGCTCCTTTTTTTTTTTTTCATAAGGACTTGTCCACTGTTCCTGTGGAGGCCTCAGATATGCCCACATCTCCTTGCTCCCCTCTCAGCACTGGGCCTAGGGGAGCTCCCTGAAAGCATATCTATTACAACAGGCAATCATGTGTTTGCTGAGTTAGGGACAAGTACGATGGGTGAGAAAGCAGGAAGTCAGGGTTCAAATCCAGTTGCTCCCACTCACACTCTGGGGCTTTGGTGGACTAAGACATTAATATCCCTCTGTGTTTCAGAGGTGCTCGTGACGGTGAGAGGCAGTAAGGCTCACGGGAAGATGCACGGCCCATGGGAAATCAACAGAGGCTACTAATGACTGTGGACAAGCAGACCAGGGGCAGCACAGCGGGAACCCTCCTATCTAACAAGGACTCCTACTGCTCTCCTCTTTGCTGCTGGGCATGTACCCCGAGAGCACGCCCCTAAGCTTGGATGGAGCATCGTACTTGGTCAGTGACCTGTGGAAGTGAGAACGTCACTCAAGTACTCCAAAAGCCCTGAGCCCACAGGACTTCAGCTGTGAGAACTTACCTCTTGGCTTCACAGCCTGTCTGTCTGGCGGCTGTCTCCAAGGCTTTCCTCTTTGTGCCACTCTCCCTCAGCACATTGGCATCTCTGGGGAACAAGCCCTCCATCAGGTCCATTGTCGTCTTCATTCTGGAGTCTGGGTCCAAAATGTCTGCCAGAGATTTGTCTTGATGGACAATCTCCTTGGCAAGAGCTTCGGTTCGGATATCTTCCGAGGTCTTCTGGGGCTCGGCATGGATTTTCTTTCCTAGATCCTGAGTTCTAGTGACAGGCTCATGGATGAGGCTTTGGGTCTGGCTGGGAGAGGCCTGCTCGCCGAGAGAAGCGGTGAGCTGCGGCTGAGCATTCACGTCGGCGGCTGTGCTGGGCTCGGCTTCTGAACCTGCGGCTGGAGCCTGGGGTGGTTTGGGAGTCATTATGTGACCACCTTCGGAATGGACTGCACCAGGCTCGTGCCTGTCCTTTGAGACTGTCACCATGGGAAATTGGCAGGAACTACTGGGGAAAGAAAAGACAGTGTGATTAAAGGGAAGAGTCAACAGAAGCTGAAGGCGAGAGCAGAGAAACTGCGAGGAAGGGACTCTCATCAGGGCTCCAGCTTCCCAGACCAGGAGTGGTGTGAGGAGACACATCTGCAGGCACATCTGCGGTGCTCTCCAAACCATGAACTCTAGGGGCCTTCTCCTGAGCCCAGGGCTGGTCTACCCAGACACACTAGCAATTCAATTTGACAAATGTTGCTATTGGGCTCTGGAACTTTAAGGTACAGATGGATAGAAAATAGTGGTGGTGACCTTTGTGGCATTCAGAAGATGCTACCCTATAGACATTTTGTTTATGTTTGTTTTTGAGACAGAGTCTCTCTCTATATATAGGTCAGGCTGTCCTGGACCTCACAGAGATCCACCTGCTCCTGCTTCCTCAGCACTGGGATTAAATGCCTGGCCCCATAGAGTGATTTCTTGCTTTTTTTTTGACATTTATTTTATTTTTACACGTATTTATTCGGGGCGCATGTGTGCTGTAGTATATGTATGTGAAAGGCGGAGGACAGGTTCTCTCCTCTCACCATGTGGGTCTTGGGAACAAACTCGGGCCATCAGGCTTGATGGCGAGCTTACCAACTGGGTCATCTTGTTGAACCTCAAGGGGAATTCTGTGAGCTATCACCAGGCTCAGACTGTTGAGAAATGCTTGTTCCTCGTTAGCTTGGCTTCCGTCACTTCCTCCAACTAACTAACTAACACACACTACTGACCGTAGCTCCATCCTGTATCTCTGTGGATATGGAGTGCCCATAGACAGAAGGTGACCCTCACAGCTCAGCCTCCTCTTTGAGAGGCTGCCCCCAGGGTGTGTGTGTCCAGTGCAGCCGCTGGCTAGGGAGGGAAACTTACACTGGGGTTTAGTACCAGGAGACCCTTACAGCCAGACAGAAGTCATGTTCTCCCCTGTCTGTTCTGCCAGCAATAAAACTGTGTTTCTGAATTCTAATTTTTGTTTCTTTAACTGATCCAAAACTCAGTCAGGCAAGAGGAGTTGGGTCTTGGCTCTTGAAAGCCTCACTTCTCAATACACAATAACCACTAGCCCCGCAAGGCAAGCAAATGGATGGTGGTGCTGGCTTCATGAGATGAGCCGGCATAAAGAATGGGACTCCCTGGGCACCCTGGCTGTGGACACCCCCCACCCTATTCAAAGGCTGGCCTGGAGCGGCTGCTCACTCACCTGCTGCCGGCTTCCTTGTACGCTTCACTGTCCAGCACTGCCTCACACATGACTTGGGGAGGAGGTGGAGGAAAGTCGTCTGAGCTGTTCACTAGGGTTTCCTGGCTCAGTGGAGGAGGTAGAGGTGGAGGTGGGGGAAGAGCTTCAAATGTGGGGCTTGAAGTAGCCCTGGGGTGCAAGTCCTTCACAAATACTTCGTCCTCGTAGTCCCCCCGGGGTGGTGGGGAAGCCTGCAGGGCTGACTCGGATATCCGGAGAGAGATCCTCCCTGGAGTGTCTGGGTCCACAGTGCTGCAGGAGCTCGGCAGACTCTGGTTTTTATAGTGCTTCAGGTCAGCAAACCCAGGCACCGAGGCGTCCTCTGAAAGGCCATCTTCCCTGACTGCAGGGGCCCACTTCGTCCAAGATGGAGGGGGGCGCTGAGGCAGGGAGGCCCTCTTCCACATCCCCTCTTCCAGCCCATGCTCTGGGCTACTGAGCTCATGGCATTTTGGGCTGGGAGGCTGGGTCAGACTCTGGCCGTCATTTCTGTGGGTCACTGCAGGGGCAGAGGGCGGAAGTGGCTGTCGTCCAGGCTGACCGCTCCTTTCAGTCTGCTGATCGATGGTAAGCTGTGACCGGGAACTGGAGGGGACAGGTGATGGCAGAGGGGAGCTGGGTGGGGCTACGGAGGCAGCTCTCGCATCTAGAAAGTGGCCTTGCATTCCTGCTGAAAGTGGCCTAGAGCAAGGTGTTCTAAGCTGCTTCGGGTGGTCTGGGATTCCAGAACATTCAGTAGGAGCTGAGGAACCAACAGTGGATTTACAGCCTGAGCCATTCCAGCAAGGGGTAGGACGGTGTAGGGGCAACGCTGGCTCTTTCTGGCCTCTGTCTGAGCAATTGGCAGACCTGGAACGAGGCATAGACCAAAGGTTAGAGCTCTACACAAAGGGCAAACACCGAGTGTCAGAAACAGGGTGAGACCGTCACCCCAGAAGCCGAATACCTTCCTGAACCAAGTTAAACAGGGCAGACAGCCAGAGCTCCCTCAGGCAGTACCAGTGCGGCCCTTCTTTTACTAACCCTCCCGCACAACCCAGGCTCCTCCAGGACACACAGGGAAGGCAGCTGAACACAGGCTGTAGGAAATGAAGGAAGAAGGAACACATGTCTTCAGCTCCTTTTGGACCACTTTGGGGAGCTGCTCTGGTCTCTGGGAGAAAGCCTGATGCCTCACTGTCTCCCTGAATCACCTCAAGGGAGGGGTCTGCCTGGGAAGCATCTGCATGGCTTCTGAGTCTGAAGCTTTGATTATAGCATTCTCTGTTCTCTAAGTCTCTTAGTGTCCTCATTTCCTACAACGAAGAGGGATAAATCAATAAAAAGGAGGGAGATGCCCCCTAAGGAGCTAATTCTCTGCAGGAGACTAACAGTGAGCAAGTCCCTACATGGTGCCTCGAGCAAGTGTCTGTAGTCACCAAGGAAACCCAACAACCAACAACTGCCACCTTTGCTACTGAAATCAGAGACAGACAGACACACACACACACACAAAACCACACACGTGTGTACAGAGGTGGAGGGAAGAGGTGAGGAGAGGAGAGAGTACAGGGGAGGAGAAGGGAAAAAGTCTGGAGTACTGCACCCTGGACCTGTGATGTGGCAGCTAATGTGTGGATTAAGAAGACAAGCTCTAGCAAACCCTATCATTTGTGAGTTCTGTATCTGCAGTTCCCAGCTGGCTGTGGCAGGGAACCTGGGGAGGAGATGACGTCTTTCATTTAGCCCACCCGAGGCCCCGGATGGAGCTGCGGCTCTCTCATACGTCACAGCAGTTGGCTGGAGAATCACAGCCATGCGCGTGCGATGCCTGAGTGAAGAGCTTCTCGGAGCTTCTCCTGCTCAGATGTAGCCTCTCTCCATCCCTATGACAGACCTTCTCCAGGGACCCTGCTACACCCCTGGGCTGTTCTGCACCTCTAGTGGATCGAGGCAGCTCCTCTGCGTATGCGTCTTCCTTCTGTTCGGGAAGTTTGGCATCCCTAGCACCTAGCAGAAGGTGCCCTGTCGGTGCATGTCTGACGAAAAGAAAGGTGTGTCTTCTGCCCAGTCACTGTCCAGACTGGAGGACAGGAGCTGTTTTACATTTAGCATCGTAGCTGGGTGGGGGTATACACCTATAGCCCCCAGCACTAAGGAAACTGAGGCAGGATTCAAAGTTCCAGACAAGCTTTTTGGGGTAGCTAGCAAATTCCTAGACTATAGGGAGAGAATTTTTCAAAACAAACAAACAAACAAACAAACAAAAACAAGACTTAGCATCCTCTAGGGGCCACCTTGCCTGCTTTCAGAGATTTAATGTTAGTATGGTGAGTGTCTAAGAATTAGACTGGCTGCTTAATGGGTGTTGTATTAGTCTGTGTTTATGATGTCCCCTTTAAAAGCCTCTAGACATACATCATAAACACAAAATGATACAATACCCAGTAAGGAGCCAATTCAAAACTTAGCCTCTTTTAGTTTATGTTTGGCCTCGCTCACCATACTAACATTAAGTCCCTTTGGAAGCAGGATTTAAGTTAAATGTTTCATTTGGTTGAGCTTCTTCACGGTGACTGTTTCTGTTTCTCAGAAAGGATTTTAGGGTAAAAACAAAGCACCTTCGTTCATTTAGCTAACATAATCCAGGTTCACATATGACAGATTTCTTCTCGCTGTCTCCACCACGATCTGTTTACACAGCTATTCCCCGACAGAGACTTGAGTCCTTGACGATCTCTGACTACTGTCTATAGTAAACAGTGCCACTATGAACTTCGCATGCGAGCCTCTGACTCGGCTTTCCATTCTCTGGATATATGCTCGGGACTGCTACTGTTGGATCCAATGCTAGCTCCGTTTTTAACGCTTTTAGGAACCTCCAAGCTCTTTCTGTACTGCCACCATCTTACATTCCCACAGTGCACAGGGTTCGGACCTCTCACCCTGATGGAGGAAGGTCATTGGTTAAAAAAATAAAGAAACTGCTTGGCTGGCCCTCATAGGTTAGAACACAGGTGGGTGGAGAAAACAGAACAAAATGCTGGGAGGAAGAGGAAGTGAGCTCAGACTCGACAGCTCTCCTCTCGGGAGCAGACACCTCAGAGAGACGTCATGCTCTCAGCTCCCAGGCAGACACACGCGATGAAGCTCCAACCCAGGATGGACATAGGCTAGAATCTTCCCGGTAAGCGCACCTTGGGGTGCTACACACAGATGATTAGAAATGGGCTAAATTAATATGTGAGAATTAGCCTAGAAGAGGCTAGATAGAACTGGGCCAAGCAGTGTTTAAATGAATACAGTTTGTGTGTTGTTATTTCGGGCATAAGCTAGCAGGCGGCTGGGGTGTTGGGGACGCAGCCCCGCCGCCGCTTACTACATCACCCTCTATTGCCACACACACGTACATACCTAGATCCAGGGCCGGCCAAACAACATGGGTCCTTCACAAAACCAAAGCTACTGTCGTCCCTCAGCAGCACATCCTGGAAGCACAAAAAAGAGCAACACTGAGTGCAGGAAGGAAAGAGCAGGAATCTGCATTCTGACCTCCTGCGGTCAGTACCCAGGGCATCACTCCTACGGATGCTCCCGGATGCTCCTCAGAGTTCCCGGAAGATTGCTGACAGCGGGCACTGGGGAGGAGACAGGCCCAAGGTCAGAAGTGGGAGTCAATGTGAGAACCTCCTCTGATTGCTGCAGGCATACCCCCTCCCCACACACACACAAGAACCTCTGTCATGGAAGAGGCGTCTGATAAGGGTTATTTTGGAGCTCACAATTGAATTCAATGGGGCAAACTTTTGAAATGGCAACAAGGGGTGATGGGAAATAGGAAAGACAATGGGGAAAGTTACAATTTTGCAAACTTTCAAGTGTTCTGAATAGGAACTAATTTGTAACTGGGCAACAGTAAACTCCCCCAAGTCTCCCCATTATAGAGATCAGTACTCTCAGGGTAGTTTTTGTTTTTACGTGAGTAGATGTTGGTGTCTTGAAAGGATTACTACTACTGCAACACTGATGGTGTAAAATCCATCCCATGAGATCTGGTCATGGTGAAGAGGAGGCTGTTGCTATGGACGATAATGTAATCAGTTCTCTATTATTTACAGTAACAGGACATTACACTCTGAACCTAATTTTAGTAACTTATTCACTATTAACTCGTCTAATGGGATAACTGCCTTTTACTTCCTTATCCATGACTTTGACTGGGTGGAAGAGGAAACTCATAGTCAATGAAGACTCAAATGTTGCTGGCTAGGGAGGTAACAAGTGGACATAGTGCTTAGTAGGAGCTGGAGTCCAATTCTTAGAACTCACAGAAATGATGGCGGTCATAGTGGACTACCTGAGATCTAGCACTCCAGAGACAGGGGGTCCCCAGAGCAAGTTGGCTAGCTAGATTAGTTACACTCATGAGCTCTGAGTTCAACTGAGAGACCCAGATGCTGTCTCACTACCACCAGCCCAGAAAAAAACAAAAATCATAGAAAGATTTTCAATGTCAACCTTAGGCCTCTACGCACGCACACACACAAATACACATATACACATGTCCTGCAAACACATACATGTGTAAACCAAACAGTCAAAGACTGGATGGAGATATAGTCCAATGGTAGAATGCTTGCCTAGCACGCATGAGGACCTAGGCTCAATTCTCAGTACTGTCTCTCCCCTCCACTGCTGCTCCCCAAAAAGTCCAAGGTGATCACAGGCAGAAGAAGCAAAAGCCCAGACGTTAATAACTGCACCTTACCCTTATCAGGTATATTACTGTGTGCCAGACACTGTGTTAAAGATTTTACATAAAATATTATCTATTTGACATTTCCATTAAAATTTGCATGCATATGTGCATGCATAAGTACACATGTACATACATGATCAAGTATGTGACTACAGCTCAGAAATACTGCTTACAGTGGAACCAACAGAGGAACTAGGATTCAAGCCAGGACCTCTTCAAAGCCCAAGATCTTTCTGTGGAATTGCAATGGGTTAAATGCAGCTGGTAGATGTGAACAGGTCTAAGCATTTGCAGATGAAGTCCACACACTGACGCATTATCGCTGCAGGACAGAAGCTCCTGTTTTCAGGACCCCTACAGTCCTTTAAGCCTCACCTACCACCCTCCCTGAGCCAGTTTTTGCCAACAGTTAAGCTGAAGTGCCTAGAATCCATGTGAGCTCCTGGCACAGTAAAGTTAATCATATCTTCACATTCAATTACGTCCTTGGGATTGCGGTACGTGAAAGAAGATAACCTCCTGATTCGGCCCTGGAAAGGATGTTTATGTTGGGTACGCATTCCCAAGGGGGGTGGCGCTAAATCCAATAATCAGCTATAAGAGAATTTATCAACCTTCCTGGTAATCAAGATACCCCTCCCTCATTTCCCACCCCCACCCTCAAAGCACTGGGCCTTGAACATGCCAGGTAAGCTCTTTGCCACTGAGCCATATCCCCAAATATCATTTGGACAGAAGGAAGGAAAATGTCTTCTCAGCCTAGTATTTACCCGAGGTGGATGTCCTCATGTGTTTTCACTGTCAAAGAATCTCGACTTTCTATAAACTGGTATGTGTAAAGAATGGATGAGGGCAACAGAGAAAAGCACTGGCTGTAGGAGAACACAGCCACAGACAGATACTAACCTGGTAAGCAACTAATTTTTGGTAATTATTTCAGAACAGACTTAAAGAGGCAGACAGAGCTCTGTGAGTTCAACCAAACAAAAGCAAGGGAATCTAAACCAATCTGCTAGCTCTCAGCACACCCAAGACTGTAACCTGAAGTGGATAAAATCCCAATTCTGACTCTTCTTGAGGGGTTCCAAGTTTAATATCTGTGACTACCAAAATACAGAGATTGCAATAGTTTTCTACTTTAGGGTATTAGTTTCTAATATCTACTAAAATGAATTAGGAATCCACATGAAAAATTAGATTTTTAAAAGTAAGTAATAACTGATAAATACTAAAATGGAATCACTTTACCACCTGATCTTCTCAGACATAAGATGTCTTGCCATCTTTTCCGCATGCCAGTCTGTTTATTCAAGGAAACAGCATGGCTTAATGACTTTAAGACTAGAGCAAGGCAGTGTTGCTCAAACATGATTCTCTGCTACCGTGGGCGGATTTTGAACTCTTTCTAGGCACCAGTTACCTCTCTTTAATGTAACAGTAATAGTATCAACCTCGCAGCATAGACAAAGACTAACTTTACAGTTACACAACAGTACGATGACTGGCACACAGTAAAAACTTGATCAGTGTTGGTTATCTGTAATTCTGCAACTCACAGAAAGTCAAGTCTCTTAATTATGCTCAGGTCTCAATGGGTGCTTACTATCTGCTGCTACAAAAGACTTACTGGCTATCCCAAAGAATCAAGCCTACAACCAACATTACGGTGTGAGCCACTAAGGTCCTCGGCAACTTACTGAGTGTCATCCCACCTCACCATGAAGGTGGAGGGCTCTGAAGATGCAGTCCAGATGGACCAGAGAAGCCCCTGCCTCAGAAGTAAGTTGGCCAGAGTTTATTTTAAAAATAGGCTCCTCTATATTTTAAAGATTTTATTTTTTTGTATGTGTAAGGGTTTTGTCTGCATGTATGCCTGTGCACCACTGAATGTATGGCATCTGTAGAGGCCAGAAGGTGTTGGGTACCCTGGAACTGGAGTTACAGATGGCAGGGAGCTGTCATGTGGCTGCTGAGTCCAGAAGCCCCATCTTTGCAGTAAGTGCTCTTAACCAGCCCTGAGAGACTGCTGTATTTTAACCTACGCAGTGAAGACATGTAAGATTCTGCCTGGCTGTTGTTGTAGCTCTGCAGGACCCAGCACTAAGATGCTGGCGTTGGCCAAGGCCTCGCTGCTGTCAGTGGGAAGGAGCGAGAGTCTGAGATGGAGGCTCCATCTGTAGCAGTCACTGGTGCTGCAGCTGCCCTCTTCAAATGAAGAGGAATGCAGGAAGAAAAGGGAATGGGTGTTCTATGTTTCAGAGAAAATACCAAGGAAGGAGGGAGCGGGCCCCTTCTTGTCCAGTTTTCAAGTAGCTCTCAGGCTATTTACAGTTCAACACAGTGGCCTCTGCGTTATTATTTCAGGCCTCCGGATCATCACCACAGAAGTCAAGGGAACTGGTTTCATGATGACTTGTTTTGGGGACAGAAAGTACCCGACTGACAGAATTCTGAGAAGGGCTGTCAGATGTTAATAGAGTTGTTTAATTCCCCGGTATGTGAGCACACACACACGCACGCACACGCGCACACACACACACGCACGCGCACACACACACACACGCACACACAGGTTATAAAATCTTCCACACCAGCATCTGATTAATAAGAACAAATCGGGTTCTCCGAGTGTCATAAACTCGGTGCCATAGTTAAACTCCACAGAGCCTTGGTTTTAGCTCAGTCTGTATGTATTCGGTTACTCACCTTGCTTGAGTTCACTGAAGCTAGAAGAAAAATCCTTTATTAACTGACCCTTTACTAAAAACGTACATAGCTATAAAAATCATAATTCACCTTGACTCTATAACCCAAGTATTATATTATGCAGTAAGAATAATTTTGTTTCTTTTCTCTGCCCCCCCCCCCCTTCCAGTGTTGACCAACCAGGGCCTTGTACCCGCTGGCCTTCTCTTGCCAAGCTATATCCTAAGGCCCCTTGCTCTGTTTTAAGCTCAAATAAGGTTAAAGATGAAGAGCATGCACGAAGTTACCCCACGCATCCCTAGTCAGGCCAGGACTAGCTGCTGGGCCGGGAAGCAGCTCAGGAATGAGCGCTGATGCGGAGCAGCACAAAGCAGGTCTCTCATCCTGCGTCCTCCATTAACAATTACGGGTGGTGCCCCTCACTAGAGGGACACCTAAGTGCTGTTCTGTGTTCAGTTACCTTTCTAAAAACAGTTTCGCAAATAACACAGAGTACTTGATTGGGACTTGAAGAAACCTTACCACTTCTCCAAAACAAACTAAAAGTTCACTTGACATCTATGTCCAAGTGACCAGCTTATGAAATATTGGGGGGTGCGGGGAACAGGCCACAAACATTCAGTCATCCAGCCAGTTCCCCAAGGCAGAATAATGACATTTAAACACAAGGAAGATTATTTTTTGTCTATTTTTTTTTATCTTTTTGGTTTTTTGAGACAGGGTCTCATTACATAGCCTTGGCTATCCTAAAATCCATTATGTAGATCAGGCTAGACTTGAACTCACAGAGATACATCTGCCTCAGGAGTGCTGGTAATAAAAGTGTTTGCTACCACACCTGGATTTTTTTTTTTTTTAATAATCATATAGTCTTTGCAGTATTGGGATAGAAGAACAAAGTGTTTGGACTTCTATGTAGTAAACTACTGGTGTAAAATCAGCTGAAAAATCTTGTTCCTATGTTCCCATGGATTTTACCTGTAGGGAAGAAAGAAGCACAGCCAACTTTGATTGCCTCTACGGATTTTTTTTTTTTTAAGTGGGAGAGAATACTCCTGGACAGTTCTGAGCAGAAACTACCCAGAGGGACACAGCACTGACTCTCACAGGATGTGTCTGAGTGGGTGTGTGTAGCTCACGAGTTTCAGTACACCGGCAGTTGGGCTGCTTCCTAAAATCTTACACATATGCACAGACCTACATGAAATAAGAAAAAAACAGACCCGGTGGCAAAGGTTTTCTGAGACTGATGGGACTGAAAAGTTCAAGACCAGCCTAGACAACTTAGTGAGACCCTATCTCTTAAGAAAAAGTAGAAGAGGCTGGGTGGGTATAGCTCCGTGATAACAGTTCTTGGCTTGGCATGCAGTGTTCAACTGCCAGTCCCACAAACAACCATAAAACAACTATATATCTAAAAAAGAACTATATATCTGTATCTGTATCTATCTGTAGGAAATCGAGTAAGGTAGCTTGAGAAAACTGCAGGAAAAAACCAGTGGCGCAATGGATAACGCGTCTGACTACGGATCAGAAAATTCCTACATTTAAAAGAAAAAAAAACCCTGAATATAGGAAAGCCCTCCCACCCCCTAAAGATGCCAAGAGTTGGAGGGCCAGTCCTAGGCCAGCTGGCTTGGCTGCACCTACCTGGCCTTTCTTGTCCGAGGTGGGGGACGACCTGGACCTCACGTGCACAGGGACAGCCAGGGTGTCGGAGCGTTCCAGCAGATCCTCGGCTGACTTGGACTTGCCAGCGTTGGTGGCCACCATGCTCCAAGAAGGCGGCCCGCCACCAGGGGTCCTGTCCGGTCTCTGGGTGGCCCTAGGTCCGCAATTTGCTCCGATGAGCGGCTGCCTGGGGGGCTGAGGGTCCCAGCGCCTTCGCTCCCCGCCTAGGCGTCCACTGGCGAAGGAGCTGCTACGATCTCGGGGCGTGTGAGGGGCGTTGGTGGCCAGGTGAGGGTGCTCCTGGCGGGACAGCGGCACGTCGGGCTCCCGCAGAGAGCTCAGGCTGCAGGCTGAGGCCAGGCCAGGGCCCTCGGGGGCCGCGGTGGCTGGGCCGGCATGAAGGTATGCGCTCTGGGCGCGCTCGCGCAGCCCGGGCTCTGGGGGGCAGGCGGAGGCAGGCCGCTTGCCGGTCTTGCGCTGGATGTAGTCGGCCAGGGCGCTCTGCTGGAACTGCTTCAGCTCAGGCCCCGACAGGCTGAGGGTGGAGCAGGCCTTGCCGTCCCGCTCGAAGAGGCGGCGCCGGTCGGCCACGGTGCTCTCAGAGAAGCGCAGCGCCGGCCTCGTGGGGCCGCAGGCCGCGGGCTCAGCCTCCTCTGACACCCCCACCTCGTTCATCTTCTCGGGCTCCGAGTAGGAGCGCTTCTTCTGCTCAGGCGTGAGGCGCCGGCGGGCACCGCGGCGGGGAGCAGCCTGGGGGGCGGCCGGGGTCACGCTGTGCCGCTCCCGAGGGGTGTGCGGGGAGGACGAGGGGGCCGGGGCCTCGGGGCTGCGCATCCCCACGTGCGCAGAGGCGGGACGGGGCCGCCAGGGCCTCGAGATGGCGGCGGCTGCGGGGGTGCCCGGCTCCAGGTCTCGGCGACGAAACGAGGTGGCCCCCAGGACGCGGGACTGGGCGTCCTTGATGCTGTTTCTGTAGGTGCGGCTGAAGAACGCGTCCAGCGGGGGCGACTCGGGGGTGCCGGGCCTGTCTTCCTGCCACGGCGCTTCCCTCTCCGTCTCGCTGAAGAGCTGGAAGGTGCTCTGGCTGCGGAGCAGGTGGGCATCGGGCCTGGGGGGCTCACCGCCTCGGGCAGGGGGGCCACGGCCATCCCCAGCCCTCCACAGCGGCTGGCTGCAGGGCTGCCAGGAAGCCTCTTCGAGCCTGGCCTCCCCGTTTCTCAAGGGCGGCTCCCCATTGCGCAGGGGCTCCGTGGCCTCGGAGAAATGGATGCTGGCTTTTGGGTCCTCAAAGTCACCTGCGGAAGCCGGGCCGGCCCTGTTGGGCCTATAGTTGAGGCCGTAGGAGGAGCTGCCCACGCTGGGGAGTCTGTGGCGCCCTTGCTCGCGCTCTTCTATCTTGGAGACCTTCTCCAGTACCGAACAGTGGGGCTTCCTGTACTGCAGGGCCGAGGCACTGCAGGAGCTCAGTCTCCTCTGGCTCAGGCCGGGTGTCTGCTGGAGTGCTGGGGCCTGGGGCTCTTCATACCTTGGGTCTGCACCCTGGAAAGAGTCTACGGTGTTCATTTTCCCCTCCGGCCTTGGATAGGAAACAGACCTGTCCTCGTAGCTCCTGCTATCGGGCCCAGCTTTCCTTCCATGCTCTTCCACGTTGGTGTTGAGGGCACAGGTGGGCCTGCCACCGGGGTAATCCTCCTGGACATCTCCTCCGAACTCTACGTTGCTCTGTCTTCTTAGGCTCTCTGGAATGTTCTGGAGAGATGAGAAGGTCGACTTGGTCCTGCCAAAGTTGCCTGGCTGGCTCTGCCCTTGGCCTTCCCTCTCCTGTTTCTGCCTGAGGTTGGCATTGTGATCTTCCTGTAAGTCACCCTCCCTGGGCTGAGTGGGCCTGCCCACGTGATTAGAACAAGGCCTGCTGCCAGGGGCGTTCTTTCTCTCACTGGGATATGATGGGCTGGTGCCTCGGAGAGGTGTGCCCTGTTTCTTCAGGGAGGAATCTTCATTTTCAGGCACTGGAGAAAAATGGACTTTGTAGGAGACATGTTTGGCTGTGGGTTCTGGATTTCTCTCCACTGGGGTCACCGAGTCATGTTCTAGGGGCTGGCAGAAGGCAAACCCGGGCCTGCTAGCTTCATTTTGGTTCCCGTTCTCATCCAAGGTGTCCACCTTGTTACAGGCTCCCTGAGCGGCCGTATATCCACTCTCTTTGACCAGGGCAGGGTAGACAGTGCCATTACTACTCACGGAAGGCTGAGGCACCTGGGCAAAGTGTGGCTCTGGAGAAGGTACTGGGTAGATGCCAGTGGGCAGGAGGGGTTGGCCAGGCTGCGCCTTCTGGGTGTAACTATGCTTGGGCTTCACTGGGGGGCTGCTCTCTGGACTCCTCTCTACAACGGTGTGCAGCTGTTCCTCCATGAGGGGGGTTTTCAAGGAGCCTGAGGAGTTTGTCTGAGGCCGGCAGAACCTCTTCTGATCGAGGCTGGACCAGGAGCTGGGACGCTCGCGCTGCCGGAAGGCAGCATAACTGTCACTCCGAGTAGGGGGCGTGGGTGCACCCACTTTCTGGGCCAGGCTGTCAGTGGCAGTATCTGAGTACTGCTGGCTCCACGATGGGGATGGGGGCCCCTTGCCCCGGGGAACACTATGCCACTTAGCACAGCCCTGGAGACCTGCCGATGCGTGGGCATCCCTACCGAGCAGAGCTGAAGGGCTCACCTCATACTCCGACGATACTCCCCTCCGACTATCGTAGACTGTCTTGACATAGCGAATGTCTGCTTGCCTCATCCCTTCTAGGAGGCCACCGCGAGCAGAAATCGTGTCCATGGAGCCTGACCGTTCTTGGCCAGGGCCACCAGGGGGTGGGTACTCCAGGATGCTAGAACTTGTGGAGAAAGAGCTATACGCCGAGTCTCTTTTGTTATGGAGGTGGCCGAGCTGGTCGATGCTGCTCGTGGACTTGGCAGGAGAAAGGAGATGGCAGGCTGGGTATCCACCACTAGGCTCCAGGCTTTCCATACTCCCCTGGGAGCTGCACCGGTCGGGGCTCCGCCTCAGATAAGAATGGTCATAGTTGGAGAGGTCACTTGTGGAAGAGCTGGGAGAACGGGAGACAAAGCAGTCAGTCGGCTGAGGAGCTCAGTGGAGTTTAAGACACGGGGCTCAGCTTATAAATTCACTCTTATGCAAGACGTTCCGTTTTCGGAAGGATGGGTCAAAAGGGCCTTATTTGGGGCTTGTTCCGATCCCCGTGTCGTCACTAGGATTAACTGCCCAATGCTGCAGCCTTATGAGCCTCTAATTAATCACTCTGGCTTACTAGAAGAAAGGGGTGGTCTTAGGCACAGGCAGCATGCTGGTGGGACTCGCTGCACTGTAGGTGACATTTTGCACGTGCCCAGAAGTGAAGGAGGTGAGCGGGAGGAACTGAAGGGAAGGAAGGAGGACAGGAGAGCATTGTCTGTCTGTTGTAGACCCTTGGGGAAATCGAGCAAAGCTTAGGAAGCAGACAGGCGTGTGAAGGGTCGGGGACTTGGGAAGCACAGAGTACGATTTGGGTTCATCTTTCCTTTTTAAGGAGTCGAGAGCTAGGCCCTGGCAACCTTCCTGAGTCTCAACACTGGTAGGGACAATTTGTTTGCAGGGAAAAGCTAAACACCAAGCTGAAAGGAGAAATACATGGGGAGATGTTCAAGTCAGAAAAGCCCAATGAGAGAGGAGAGGGCAGGGGAGAAAAGGAAGCTGGGAAGGAAGTCCATTAGGCTGGGCTTCCAACCCTAAAGCCAGCCTCAGTGTGCACTCAGGAGAGCAAGACCTTTGAATTTCTAAGCTCCTGGGGGTTGGGGAGAGGGACAGGGTCTCAATATTGGACCTCTGAACCCCAGAAAGCTGCCTCCAAAAAATTGTTTTTGTTAGATAATCAGAGTAACATGCATGTGTGGGGACTGGGGAGTTTGTAGCTTCCATTCAATTTTGCTAAAAGCTTAAAACTGCTCTAATGATTGACTATAAAGGGGCTGGAAAGATGGCTCAATAGTTAACAGCACTGGTTGTATTCGATTCTCAGAACCCACATGGTGGCTCACACCTGTCTCTAACTCCAATCCCAAGAAATCTGACTCCGTCTTCTGGCCTCGGCAGCCACTAGGTATGTATGAGGTACACAGATATACATGCAGACAAAACACCTACACACATCAAATACCAATTTGCTATGAAATTTATTTGGGCTGGAGTATAGCTTGGTGCTAGAGCCCTTGCCTAGCATATGTGAAGAACCTACATAAATAAATAGACATTATATACCTATGGAGAAGCCATATTAGAATTAACAAAAATCAATTAGCAGTCGCCTTATATTAACCATTGTGATTCACTATTCTCTAAAGAAAGGTAAATCAGGAGCGCTGACCTAGGCGCTTCATTTTTAGATAAGCAGACACTCAAGAGCATCTGCAATATATATTATATATTTCTAGATCTCATGTAAACAAATATAATGACTCCGTACCAAGTGCATGCCAATGTTTTAAGCTGCAATGTCTCCAGAGAATGTATGAAGAGATTCAAAGGGCAATGCTCAGAGCTGAAACTAGAGAGAAACCAACGAAACATTCCGTTGTCAGCAAGACCACACGCTCAGCATTTTACCTCAACAGAATCTAATTTTTCTTCTCAGGAAAAGTCAACCTACTAAACGAAGTATCCTGCTCTGGGAAAGCCAGGATAAACTTAAGAAATGAAGAAACAGTTGGTGAGCCTTCCAGGTCAGCAAAAATCGACCTGCCCTCCATGGCATGACGCATGTCATGGCTGAATTTTACTGAGCTTTACTGAGCCCTGCCTCCCACATTACCAGCTTCCCTCTAAAGCAGGAGGCTTATTGTGAAAGCATGGGGGAGCCATGAAAGCCAGCCCCATCTGGCCGGCTGTCATCCTTTAACTTCCTGCAGACACGGTACAGAGGTGACCCTTGCAAGGGAAGTGGAGGCAGCTGGCCTCCTGGGAGCTGCTTCACCCACCAGGTCCATGCAAGGAGGAAACGCTACCTAGTCCTCTCCTGACTGCTAGAAGCCTTGCAGCCGGCTACTGAAAGGCTGGTTCAGCTCTAACTTGGGAACATACACATAAGCAACTGAGCCGACTGAAACACCACTGAGCAGGGAAAATGCCAGCCCCCATGTGTCTCAAAATACAGGTGGCATCTAGGAAGAGGTCACACCTATCTCTCGCCAGACAAGTGTCTAGGAGGCCACTTCCTGTAGCAGACCTCAAGAGAACAGCACCACCTAAAGACTTTGTAAGGGCTACTCTCCTACCCCGGGGGTTGCTCTGTCCCTCAGTGGTCCGGCCATTGGTCCATTCTCAGGCTGCCTGGGGATGGGGGTCCGATGCTGGCCTCTGGGAACAAGTCTTTCCCACTGTTACCTGGAGATACTCATTGCTATTAGCTCTGCTGTTCCTGCTTCTCCTCAATGGAGCCGGGATGAGTAACAACAGTCCTGTCGGTTTCAGTGCTAACAGGGCAACCTTACTGTCAAGGACTGCACCTTCAGTCAGTCAGAGTCCCCACTGTGTGCTGGCTCCTTCTCCAGCCTCACTGTCCACTGTTGTCCTCGCTCACTGCATCCCAGCCCCAGCCCCTCCTGGCAATGACTCAGACACACGGGATAGCTACACCATCTCTGCCAGGGTTGCAGAGGTTTGTGCTTGCTATGCTACCACCTGGAGTGCCCTTTGCCTGGCTCATTCCCTTCCCTTGCTCAGGTCTCTATTTCGGAAACTTTCCAAAACTAATTATCTCCTTGGTGTTCTCCTCACATCGTATAAAGCTGTTTCTGGTTTCCGCATAGCACGTACTCTACTTGACATGCTAGGATGGCTTCAGTTCTCTCCACAATGTCTGAAGAATGAAAACACAAACACATTGGCTGTGGTGTGTTCTTCTACACTACTCTGTTTTGTGTATGTAAAACTAATTTTTAGGGGCTTTAGAGATAGCTCAGCAGTTAAGAGCCCTTGTTGATATTGCAGAGGGTGGTTTCCAAACACCCACCTGGTGGCTCACACCCACCAAAAGTCCAGTTCCAGAGGCTCCAAGGGCACCAGGCATACATGTGGAACACATACATGCATACAGGCAAAACACTTGTACCCACAAGAGAGTCCTCAAAAAAAGTCATTTTTAAATGCTTGAAACATCGTGAAAAGCACTAAACAAGTATAAGAAAACTTTCCTGGTGTGTACTCACAGAGCCTTAGGTTCCTTAAAATGATCAGATCTGTTTGCAAAACACTGGGCGAAAGTTAAACCAGCTTGTTTACCGCCAGACTTCTGGGTCTTCCATAAACCATTGTCCTTCTGTTGTTCCAAAGGGGAAGACACGAAGCAAAGTTTTCTAAACTTATTTGACTCCAGAAACTTTCTGCCAAGGAACACTTAATGGACTTTCATTTCATGGAAGACTCTGGGGGAAAACAGTTTTATACGGTGAAGCGTTTGGGATCTTCTTCCGGGAGCGTGCCCATCACTAAGACCATCTGAGACACGGGGTGCTCGCATTTGCAAGGTGATTGGGTCTCAGTGAGTCCTGTATGTTAGCGTTTTGATAATAGCGTTTTGATAATGCTACTTCAGCCTCTTCTCAGAGAGACTGCGTCCTGGCAGTCTCTTCTTTAGAACCACTTGGTGGTATTTCCATAAGACGGCAGAAAACAGCTAGGGTCAAGCTTCAGAGCAATTCCAAATCCAAGCGAGTTCACAAGACAGTTATAGCTGACTGCCCTCGCTGTCTCTGTCCCCCTGCTCCTCCCTATCCCCTCACTCTCCTTTTTCATGACTTTAGATGTAGAAGTGGGTTTGAATTTCCATCAAAGCGGAGCCAGCCAACCAACCTGGCACACTAGATCAGCAGATGCCACAGATCCTAGGGACACATCAGTAGTCCTTCTCCAGCTGGGGCTGCTGCTGTGGGACTAAGAGGAGGGAGGGACGTCCTGTGACAGAGCTGCAGAGGTGTGCCCGGACCGAGGAGGAGAGGACCGTAGACTTGCAGCATCCTGAGTATTCTGAGCTTGCTTTTCTCCTATCGTCACACAGTGCTTTTGTCACCGTCCAAGGACCAGGAGGCAGCCACAGTACAAGCACAGTTCAGCCTCTCTAGCCCCCCTGCTGCAGGCTAGGACGAGGGAAGAGGGGCAGCGTGGCCACGGCTCCTGAGGCCTGTGGAGTCGACCACAGTCACTGCACACTGACTACAAGGGTCTGATTTCTGCTATAGGGTGAGTATAGTCTTTAGGTCACATTATGACGTCAGATTTCGGGCTGGGAGGTTGTAAAGGACTCCGCCATTCAGTGGTACTCGTGTGTTCTGCTTTCTTTAGCAGGTTTCACTGGACCCCTGTCTTCAGCATGGGATGTTTTCTGCATCCTAGGAGTTGCATGTATTCCTTTATTTAATGCTCACTATGACCCAGTAACATAGGCGTCATTAGTTTCATTTTAGAGAAAGAGAAGCCAAGATCAAAGGGTGCTCACGCTCATGAGCAGGTCAGGTCATACCTGGAGCACTCTGCTCTTCCTCCCTCAAGCCGTCAGGTGCCCACACTTTACAAAACCCTGACACGTACAGCCCTGTAAATGAAGTGTCCTGCGTGGGCACAGGTGTACTGTGAGGGAACCCATTTTCCGAAACACATGGCTCAGGTGGTGTGAACTGGTCCTCTTAAGAGAGTGGGAGGACACCAGGTGTGGTGGTACATGCCTTTAATCCCAGCACTCAGGAGGCGGATGATCTTTGTGAGTTCGAGGCCAGCCTGGTCTACAGAGTGAGCTCCAGCCTAGAGTACAAGTATAACCTAGTAACTACATACGAAAACCACAGGCCCTGCTCAGATCTGTCTCTGCTCACACACCGATCAGCTGTCCAGACTCAGACAGACCAATTTGTCCATACTTTAACTTCTTGTTAACACTGCAAAATGGGGTAAACTTCTCTAGTCTTCTTTTGGGGGGCGGGGTGGAGGTTCGAAACAGAGTTTCTCTGTGTATCTCTGTCCAGGCTGTTTTGGAACTAGCTCTGTAGACCAGGTTGACCTCAAACTCACAGAGATCTGCCTGCCTCTGCCTCCCAGGTGCTGGGATTAAAGACTTGTTCCACCACTGCCCGCAGCTTCTATAGTCTTTAAAATAGTACTGCACGCAGAAGAGGGAAACGAAGGGACCTGGTGAAACCACGTATCTCTTAGAAACTCTCCATCTTAGCTGTTTCTGCTGCAGGGCCAAGGAAGATAAATTGCTTTGACAGAGGAGAAAAACCAAGTAGAACATTTAAATACAGGCATACCATCAATTCATCTGAAAAAAATATATAATTTTGAATAGTGAAGACAGGACAGAGAAGCACCCAGGAAAGAAACCTGTCAAATTTTCAAATATGGGATTATAATAGGTATGGAGAAATAGCTGCCTGGGAATGGGGTCCAGAAATATCTCAAATGACCAGCCATAACCAAACTATTTCTAGCCTCCCCCCAACAATCCAGCTCAGGATATGAGAGAAGGATGAGTCACCCATCCAGCATTTTAAGAGGATGAGAAAAAGACAATGGGGGACATGACCTTTGAAGGAGAGAAACCCTTGGATGCCAGCCATGGCCACTCACCTGGAATGGTAGCTTTGGTGCCAAGGAGGGCCCATCGTGCCCTGAGATATCTGCATCATGCTGGCATCAGGATGGTTCTCTCCAAATTTGGTTGTATGCCACGAGTGAGGGCGAGCAACAGATTCAGTGCACCTGTGGAGACACAGGAGCGGACCCTTGAGCATCAGTAGCTTCCCTCCGAGTCCCCTCATGAAGCAAGGTGGCTCAGGGGCCCAGAGACCACAGATGCAATCACTGTGTCCTGGGCTCAACAAATATTCCAATTTACTTCCTATTCTCCTATCACTTCAGACCACAGAGGGATGTTGCAAAGGCAGTATAACTTCATTTAGACTTCCTACATGTTGGCATTTTATGCTTTCTGAATGTAAGGACATGGTTGCCTCCAGATTTAAAGAAAAACAGGAACACCATAATTCCTATTTCCCAAGGGACCTTGTGTAGATGCGTAGTGAAAGCTTGCTGGGCATTTTCAGTCCTCTGTCAGGGCCTGGGAGGAGGATGGTGCTGCTGCTCACGGTCTTGCTAAGAGAGGCTGCCCTGCGTTGACAATGAATGTTCCACACCACAGCCTAGAGAACAAAGTGTTCTCCAAAACACTCTCATTTTCTAAGTCGGTGACTTCAACTTTTAAGCATCCTGCCCTTAAAAACACAAAGATCTGATGGAGCGAGGAGAAAGTGTGGGTGTCCTTCAGAGTGAACGCGAGTTCAAGGAGCAGCCGGGACTGCAGAAAGTCAGAGTCACGGGACAGTTGCTGTGTCGCATTTTTGGCAGGAGAATGGGGTGATCCATCAGGCATCTCATGCTGAAAACCTCTGAACTATGTAGTTTCTGTAGTTTAGAAACACTTTGGGATACAGGAACCCACTTGATAGGATGAAAATAATAGATGTAACTTATCCCAACCCCTCATACTTTCCTTTGATTCCCTAAAACTTAGTCATTTCTCCTCTCTGAAAAATAAATTGCTTCTGTAACGTAAAGGAAAACCCAACCTGGTGATGCCAGTGAACTTCCATTTGTTAGGCATACCAGAACATACTAGACCAGGAGCCTGGAGACTTTAGTCCTCAGCCAGACTTTGTTGTTAACCAATTGTGGAAGTCACTTCCTGTTCCTAAGCCTCTGCACACCTAAAACCTGAAGAAACTAGTCAGAAGCTCAACTCATCTCATTTTAATCTGATTTTTGAGACTAAAATTATATAATATAGCTGGTCCATAGTAAAATATCAAAAAATATTGAGTATTATTATGATATAACTTATTTGCTGTTAATGAATTGATAGAATAGAAGCCATGCAGACAGCTTGTTAGACAGACCTACCTAAAAGGAAGGGCAAAAACAGGGAGAAAGAAGTTGAGGGTGGATGAGGGCAACTATGGGAATGGGCAGGAGGAAATACTGACGCGGCAGCTCTTCCAGCTCTAAGATTGTTTATGAAATATTAAGAGTCGATAATTACAAATAGGAGACCAGCCAGATGGCTCAGCTGGCAAACACTTCTGCACAAGCCTGACCATCTGAGTTTGGTCCCTGGAGCCCACATGAAGGTGGAAGAGAGAACGAACTCCACAGAGTTACCCTCTGACCTTTGACTGAGCCGTATGTGCCCCCTCCTACGAGGACCACACAAGTAACTATTTTTTAAAAATGTGAAAAGTGATTACACAGAGACTGGTCTCAAAGTTAACTGTGGTCAAAGCAAACAGGGTGTGGCCATGGTGGCGAGGCAGGGAGCCGCTATGGCCCTGACTGTGGCCTGAAAGCAGAAGGGTAAACAGAGGCCAAGCAGCAGAACTGCCTGCCTGGAATCCACATAATAACGGGAGGAACTCTGCGGTGAACTAGGAATCAGCCAAGCTACCCTCGAGGAGTTGAGCTGAGGCTGCAGCCCGTTTTCTGGGGAACTTGAGGTCCAAGGTCCAAGGAAGCCTAGGAACAAGAGTGCCAAGTGCTGAGGTGCTGTGCTACCCTACAGCTCTCCAAGACAGGCCCTCGGGGGACAAGAGAGGCACAGAGCGACCGAGATATACTTGCTCTTTTCTTGGTCCCTGGTTGTTTTCTCCTTCATCCCATTAACCCAAGGGAAACTTGAGTTCTAATCTAGTTTCTAAACCAGATACCACTAGTTTTGAGCTTTGGGTTTTGTTGTTGTTGTTGTTTGTTTTGGTTTGGTTTTGGTTTTCAAGGCAGGGTTTCTCTGTAGATTTGGAGCCTGTCCTGGAACTAGCTTTTGTAGACCAGACTGGCCTCGAACTCACAGAGATCCACCTGCCTCTAACTTCTGGGTGCTGGCTGAGATTAAAGGCGGGTGCTACCACCGCCCGGTGAGCTTTGGGTTTTTTAAATACACATAAGTTTTAGGAAGATACTGCCAGTAGCAGAGTGAATGAATTTTACCAGCCGGGATAAGAGATGATGAGGGTCTGGGACTAAGACGGTGGTAACAAACTTGGAGGAATTAAAGATCTTTAAAGTCCGAGGCTAGGCAGGTCTATAAGAGCTAGTTCCAGGACAGGCTCCAAAGCAACAGAGAAACCCTGTCTCAAAAAAAAAAAAAAAAAAAATCTTTAAAGTCATGCAGGCAGAAGAATCTTCATCCTCAATAACCACTTGGATTGAATTGGTGTGGTGTACATGCATGTATGTGTGAGTGTGTTTGTGTATGTGTATGCTTGCATGTATGCATGAGTGTGTGTGTGAGGGAGAAACAGAGAGATGTTTACCAAGAAAGAATAAAGAATGCCAAATCCTTGAGGTGAGAATAGGTTTGGAACATTCAAAACAAGAGTGTGGCCACGGCCCCAGACATAAGAGTCAATGGTGTGGGTTCAGATCACACGTGAAGTTCTGAGGGCATTCTGGACACAAGCATCAGAAGTTTACTTGAATGGGGTCTGGAGCCAAGACTCTGAGGTGGAGCGGGGTTGTGGGGTGTTGGATAAATGGAGGTGACAACGGCGACTCAGGAAATGAGCACTGGGGGGCATCTGCTTCTCTCCACCAGCCGCTGGGACTGGGCTGCACAGCCTCCAGGCGCACAGGCCGGCTATTAGCAACACACAAGTCACACACAGAGAACACAAACAAGACTCAGACTGCTAACATCATAGAATCAACACGACCGACCATAAACCATAAGATTTATAGCTAAACTTAAATAATTAGCATTTCCTCATATTCAAAGTATTCTTTCGAATAGACAATAAATCACATGATTAAGAAACAAATAAAAACCAATGTGCAGCCTTGTCCTCCAGACCCACTTCTCTCCCTCGGCACTGACTGCTACAGCAACAGGTCTCCTTCCCCAGCATCCCACTACGTCAACACAAGCCTACATAAGGTGTGCGCGTTGGCCCTCTGGTACAGAACTTGTCTAGGGCGCACAGAGCCCAGGATTCCACTCCAAACACCACAACAACCAGAGAGGTGGACTTGTGGGAAGAACAGTATTTGTAAGGTAATACAATCTCAGAGTAACATACAATCCTTTCTGAAAAGGGACATTCTTTTTAAATGTCACACTCACAATGTACCCTGGGGACTTTTGGCTTTGCTGACTGGATCGTAAGCATGATGTCAGCTAACAGCCAGCAGATGACTGACACCGCAAATTAGGAGGAAAGGCAAGACCCTTATCCTGTCCCGTGCGCGCGAACCTACATCTAGCTTCGTATCTTTTTCCTCCTATGCAGTTTATTTTCCTCACCCTCCATTCTGAAACGTGCTTATGGACTAACAAAAATATATAGTAAGAGAGAGGAGTTAGCAATGGGTTTGTCTTTTCTTTTTTAAGTCAACGGGAAGTGATGCCAAAATGTTCTATTTCTCAATATTTCAATCTTGTTCCCTGCCCCCAACTCTCTCTCTCTGTCTGTCTGTCTCAGACACACACACACACACACACACACACACACACACACACACAGACCAGAGCACTGACCTTCCTATGTGTAAGGTTCACGTCTAAGTCTTGACAACCAGATACAAACACTGCAATATCTATAACTACAGTATCTATAACTACAGTAGCGTTCACCTTTGCCATCGATGGCCTTTCAAACGCAGCTGTGATGGGATAGGAACCAGCATGAACTTTACTAGTCTCTCTACCTCAACCCTGAACACGGACAGGGCATTATTCTCTCTGTGGAAGAAAGGAAAGGGGGCTGGTTTTTACCAACTTTTCCAGGCATCAGAGGTAAAGACTTCAGAATCTTCTTCCCTGTTATGCAAGAGCTTTGACAGGAAGAATTAACTAAGATGCTGGGTTACTATCAGTCAAGCAGACCCGCAGACACCACAAGCAAATTCTTACGGACTCGGAGAGGCTGAGGTAGCAGTAAAGAATTGTGTCCCCTTTTGAGTTCTCCTGGCTCCTTCCCAGTCAAAGCAAGAGCAGCTTGGTGGGGCAAATGGAAGACTGGGTTCTTCCCCTCCATCCAGGGGCCGGAAGGGTTGGGTCGGGTAGCCCCTGTTACCACCGTTGGAAACATCGAATACAAACCCAGTCTGGAAGTTTGATGGAGCCCAAATATCAACCAAATATTTCAAAATCAAGGTTAATGCTTTATAGATGTCCAGTTCCATCTGCATGTGTGAGCACATGTGTGTAAGACAGAAAGAGACAGAGAGGCAGAGAGAGACACACAGAGAAAAAACAGTATCTCTGAAACCCCTGACACTGAAGAAGCGAAAATCCTTTGCAGAGTAATCCAATGCGCAATGTACGGTGCTGGTGCTTTTTGTCCCTGTTTTTTTCTCTCTCTCCCCTGTTTAAGAGACGAGAGAAGAAAATACAAATAAGAAAATGAAGAGTTTTTTTTTTTAAAAAAAGGTAAATACCAATTTAAAAATGGTTAAAAGAAATCTATTTAAAAATTATACTGGAATAAAGTTTATTAACATAACCAGAACACAAATAAAAAGAAGAGGAGTCTAGGTTTGAGGGCAGAGCAGCTGAAAAAAGGAACCTTCTAGAATACCAGCTCCCATTCCTTCCCCCCACCAATATTTCCATAATAAACTTTACAATAGGGAGGAGTTTCAGTGCTCTAGCCGGCTAACACAGAACCTGCCACTCAGGAGGAGAATAGAGTGTGTTCTCATTCACTTTCAGAGAA